ACAGGAAGTACAGCAGAGAAGAATTGGTGTGATCTGAGTGCATATGATTGGGTTAAGTTGTGGATATATAAATTTTGAGAGACCTGTGGGTCATCCAAAGGGAAGGACTAGTAGGGACTTGAATATATAGATAGTAGGTGTATTTAATAAGATAAATAAACTAATTAATCATTTGGATTGTTTAATTAATTGGATTGTTCATCTTGGCCTAAACCTAACAAACATTAACAAACATTAAACTAATGATAGGAAATTAATTTAGTTGTAGTTCTCTAGTAAGATTTCTGTTAGAATAATGCCTTATTGGATAAATATCAGTAAATATTCAATATTAAGTTTTATTAAGAACTTTTGTGTTTCTTAATTAATTAATTATTTTGTTATTCAAATTATTTTAACATTTACTTGTACCTATTTTGGGGTACAGTGTATTGTTTCAATACAATGAATATTCTGTGCAGTAATTCACTTAGGGTTGACAGCATAGTTTTGTACCCTTTAGTCCACCATTCCTCCTCCCTCCCTCCACTCACTTCTGGTAACCATTATTCTACTTTCTACTTCTATGAGAACCACTGTTTGGGTTTTCTTTAGATTCTACATATGAGTGATATCATGCAGTATTTGTCTTTCTGTGTCTGACTTACGTCACTTAACATGATGGTTTCTAGTTCCATCTATGTTACTGTAAATGATAGAATATCTTTTTTTTTAGTAGCTGAATAGTATTTCATTGTGTATATATACCACAGTTTTTTTTTCATATTTAGGTAGGCATTAACAGAAATAACAATAAATTTTGTTTATTTTAGGGACCAAGAGCCCTGTGGAAAGGAATGGGAAGTACATTTATTGTCCAGGGAGTCACACTTGGAGCAGAAGGCATAATTAGTGAATTCACATCTTTGCCAAGGTACCTTTCTGGCATTTTCTAAATATTAGTTTTATATTAGATTTTAATAAAATATGATAGTTTCTAAAAATATCTAGAACCTGAAAATTTGTCTGAAGTAGATAAAAGAAGAAATAGAATAAAATTATATTATTATATCTTATGTAATTAGTATGTGATAAAGTGCTTCTTGGTCTAGCATATATTGAGATGTATCTTTTAGCTGTGACTGCTGTGTGTCAGCAGCTGCCAACTAAGGAACAAGTATGAGTGAGCAATTCATAGTCTTTGAATAGCCAGTTTAGGGAAGGAGACTCATGTAATCAAGTTATAGTAGATTGTGTGATTCGTGCTATAATTAAACTTTTTTCAGACCCCAAGGAACACATTCCCTCGAGTTATTGGCAAGGATTTCAAAAAATAACTGAAATCTGAGCTAGATTATGAATTATGAGAAGGAGTTGATGTGGCAGAGGATGTCATTCCAATAAGAGGTGACAGCATGCCCAGAGCTATGGAGGTTGGATGGTTTAGATAATAAAAAGAATTGTCTTGTGCTTGGAATATTGGGTGTGTATGGGGTGGAATATTAGGAAAAGAAACTGAGGT